GGTTGGTGGCCCTGCCTGTGGCAGGGGTTGGAGATTCCTGATCCTTGAGGTCCCTTCCAACCCGGGCCATTGTGTGTGTGTGTGTGTGTGACAGGCTAAAAACCAATTGTTGCTAGTTCAGCAAGTATATTGCTAATTATTGAACGTCTGACATCTGCTTATCAACAATGGGCCACTATTTCTGGACACCTGCTCATCCTTGAATAGAGATAAGTTTGGAAGGAGGACAGAGCAGCCAGGTGAAAGGAAAGTTGGGTTCCAGAGCACTGCAGGAAATCTGGTGTTCTATTGCTGCACACCATGCAGAAAAGTACACACACGTGACAAAGCACTGTTCCTTCCCCCCATGGCAAAGTGTGGAGTGCCTTCTCATGCCCTTTTCCTGCTACTTCCATGGCACGGTGCACATCTGTGGCATTTGGTCCTCCAGGGAGGAACAGGCAAGCAGGACACCGCAGAAAGAGCATCTCTTTGCTCTAAGCTGTCAGTGCCATTCCAGTGTTAACAGGAATAGGGTATGTCAATGCCCCACTCACTAGTGGAGAGGGGAGAGATTTTAAAAGGGAAATGAAATCTTCAATGGAAGATCCTATTGGATTAGCAGAGCAGTGTGATTAATTCTTGGGGCCAGATTTTTACCCATGGGATGAGATGATGATGATGTCCATCCTGAGTACGTTGTTTAACAGGGAGGAAAGAGGAATGATTTGACAAGCTGCCATGCAGGAATGGCAGAAAATGCATCCTCCGGGTCCCGAGGCTGTCCCTGCTGGAGTGTTACAGCCATTGGCAGGCTTGGGACGGGGGCTGAGGGATCAGAAATGATAATTGCACTTTTTCAGACCACAGAATTAAAATGGAAAGATAAAATAGTTGCAGGGCAATTGTTCTATGTGCCTGAAGCAGGGACAGATTTATCGGGAAGAGATTTAATAGTTAAATGAGGATTACAGCTGCAAGTCTGTGAAACAGATATCAGGGTGTCAATGAATGTGTTAACAGCTGATGATGAAGAAATGAATCCAAAGGTGTGGGCAGGGGAAGGAAATCGGGGTGGACTCACACTTTTCCCTTACAAATAACTGTCCAAGGAGGGAGTGAAGCTGTGAAACAGCAACAATATCCCATAGCCTTAGAAGGGAGAATGGGTCTAAAAGCTGTAACAGAGACACTGGTTAAGGATGGTCTTCTGGAACCTTGTCTGTGGCCTTATAACACCCCAATCCTGTCAGCACGGAAGGCAGACGGCACGTATCGGCTGGTGCAAGATGTAAGGAAATGACTGAACCCATTCTCAAAAGACAGCCTGTGGTTCCTAACCCCTATACCCTAATGAGTCAGATCCCACACGAACATCAGTGGTTTGGTGTGAGAGACCTCAAAGATGCTTTCCAGACAGCCTTTGGACTCAGAGAGAAATAGCTGTGTTTGTATGAGGACACATTGTAATCTTATCGTGATTCGTGACGATACTGTAGATACTGGAACTTCTGCTAATCCTTGTCTTTGCAGCATTTGAGTCGAGTAACTGGTGCTGCTGTCATGCAGAAAGCTCCCTCTGTCTTCTACTCCTGCTGCAGCTGGAACAGCTGCACCAGCACGACTCCCATCTTGGACAACCCTCCAGTACTGGCTCAGCCAGACACAGCAGCAGTCCATCTCCCTCCTAGCTCACTCATCAGCTGCTGCTGTGCCACACAGTGCGGCAGCAAGAGCGGGCAGCACCCACCAGCCTCCTCCCACCCTCACAGCCAGCCGGGATGAGGGCTGGCGCAGCGTGCCCACCCCAGCCCAGCTTTTCTTTTAAGACACCTCCCAGCAACCACCCAGCACCAAACCCAGCTCACCTGTGTGTTCTGCTCAGCCTGAGCTGTGCCCAGCTCATGCACACACCACAGCGGTGCTTCTGATGGGCTCTCACAGGGTGATCTCTTCCAAGGAGGCCCAAAGCTCTGTCTCCACATGCAGCATGCTCACCAGAGCACCAGCTGTGGGACAAACGCTCCACCCCAGCAAGGATTGCAACCTTCCTGAGTGCCCGCAACACTTCTGTGCTTTCATCACAAGCCAATGGAGGGGTCACCTCCTAGACCCAGATTTTAAGAAAGCAACAGAATGATCACCCAATGGGGTGATCTGAAGTCAAGTAACAGAGAAATGAGGATGACTCTTCTGCATCCAGCTCAGATCACCTCTTGCTCAGGCACCACACAGTCAGACCGAGGAGATGTTGCATCTGGGCTGCTATCAGCTTGGAGGCTGGAAGGGTTTGGGCTTCCAAACACTCAGCAAGCATTTGGATGAGACAGCTTCCTGCTGGGGAGCCCTCCGACATCACTGCTGCCTCCTCCAGAACCATACCTGCAGATGCTTCAGAGCTCTTCAGCATGGACTTCCTTCCTCCCATCAGCAGCTGCTCCTGCACTGACCTTCATTCATACTGGGACACCATCTGCTTCCAGCAGGAGCTGACCTGCGAGACAGAGAAAGGAAACATGGGATGAGCACAAAAGCAGAAGCACAAGGCTGTGTCACCACCATGTCTTGCAGCCTTGGGAAGTCAGCTGCAACTGCAGCCTTGGTCAGAATTACAACGGGCACCGTAAATTAAGTGTGACCTCTGAAGTTGTTGCCATGTTCAGAAATAGACGCTGAAATCCCTCACATAACTGTCGGTGGTTACCTCCAAATTCTTTTGCTTTGGGGAAAAGATGGACTCGGAATTGAAGGACACAAGAAAAATGATATCTGTTTGACGTGAACAGACTTGAAAGGTGGGCCTGGGTGAACCTAATGAGGTTCAACACAGCAGAGTGCAAGGTTTTGCATTTGGGCCGGAGGAATCCCAGACATTCTTTTGTCATCATGGTGGTTTTCAATAGACCCCAACAATGAGACATCAGGTCGCCGTGTGGGCTCCTGGGTGACACTGCCATTTCCCAGCCATTGCAGCCTAGGGGCAAATAAAGTAAATTATTTTTAAAAGATCTCACACAGAGATTGCATATTTTATTATTCTTTTACACAAAACAGAAGGGGAGGACAGCAGATGCATGCATCTGCATCACCACCCAGGGTGCTAAACGAATGGAAAAATAGAAACATCAAATATCAATGCGTTATTCTAATGCAAGGAGGGAAGCTTTTTTCAATGTTACTTTTTATCATTTAAAATAAGCAGTTGGCACTCTTAAAGGAAATTCCTAAGCCTCAAGTTCTGACAGTGTGGCAATCTGGCACGGACTCAGCTGTGAATGATCCAAACAGTCTGTTCCAAATTTTAACATCCTGTATATGCATTCACAAATTTTCTCTCTTGACTTCCCCTTACAGCCGTTAGATGCCAACAAAACATCCCACAAACACTCCTTAACTCTGTGCACACAGGCACCCATCCAACCAGAGCCATCAGTCATTCCCAGCCACGCGCTCTTCCTCCAATCATGGTCAGCATCACACGGCCGTCACGCAGCTCACTTGACTCCGTTTTTCTCTTCTTTCTGGAGGTGTCCTTGCTTCTCAGCCTTACCTTCTCGTGATGTTTATCTCGCTCTGCAGCTCCTGCTCTGAATAGGCTTTCTTGTATTCCCGCATGACAGGCACAAAATGCAGCCACAGCCCCTGCCACCAAGGTCAGCTCTTCAGCACACATTACCTGAGGAGCACTTGGCAACTCCTGCAACCTGAGCAGTGCCAGGAAGACTGTTTCACTTCTGCTTCTCCTGGCTCAGAAATTAATTTTCCTACCTAGAAAATGGAAAAAGAAAAGAAAGAAAAAAAAATCCTGACATAAAGCAGACACAATTGATACTATGGAATTCTGGAAGGCAAGGGATTTGCCCTCTGTGATGAGAAGTTGACTGCAAAGAACTAAGAAGAGCCATGACCAGGTTGTGAACTTGTGGGTAAAATTAGGAAGTGCAGCAGTGCAGGGCTTCTGGAGGTGAGGGTCTGCTACAGCTGCCTGGAAAGAGAGCCTGTTGGTGGGAGCTGCTTACTGCAGCCAGCAGAAGCATCGCACTCACTGACTCTCATCCTGATGGGGGATTCCAGTCAGTCTGGGAAATCAGCATGGCTGGCTGCAGGCAATCTGACAGACTCCTGGAGTGCAGTGAGAATCACTCTGTGGTGCAGGCATTGGGCACAGCAAGCAGAAGGGAAGCATTGCTGGACATGGTGCACACCAGGTGTTACGACAGGAGGCAGTCAGGGCTGCAGTGACCATGCCCTCGAGTTTGTGATCTCAAGGAATGCGGGCCTGGCAGGAAGCAAAGTCAGGAGCCTGAACTTCAGGAGAGCCAGCTGCAGGCTGTTCAAGGAATTCTTGAACAAGATCCTCTGGACAACTGTTTGTAGGGGCAAAGGGATGTAAAAGAGCTGGTCACTTTTTCAGAAAAACTCTCTCAGAGCTGAAGAGCTCTCCATCCCTGCCACATGAAATCAAGCAGAGGAGGAAGGAAACCTGCATGGCTGAAACTGCTGGTTACATGGAGCAAGAAGAAGGAAATGCAGAAACAGTGGAAACAGACATACAGCCTGGTCAATGTAGTGGCCTTCTACCATGGAGTGACAGCATCAGTGGGAAAAGGAAGAGCAACTGACATCACCTGCCAGCCTTTTGCAAGGCCTTCAGTGTCATGTGAGTTTCCTGTTAGCACTGAACATGAACAAATCTACCACAGAGCAACACGGTGAGCCCTCACTCACCTCAGCAGAGGTCAGCCTGCAACCCCATACTTCCACCTCTCCATGTGCACACAGTTAGGATGGGAGTGAAGGGGAGCAGCATGAAGCTGTTGGCATTCCCTGCTGTCTGCTGCGGGGTTGTGCTGGTGGCGGTGTGGTTGGTTTGCTTTTTCCTGGAAGGGTGGGAAGGAGCTTTGGGTTAGAGGCACGTCCTGTGCCAGAGCATCCTGATGGCACGCGTGGGATCAGCAGGTCTGTCAGAGAAGCGGGTGAGGTTGCACGCTGAGCTGCAGGAGAGGAAGGGGAGGAGGTGCCAGCACAGCTCTGCACGATGCTTTGCCACACTGGGCAGCTTGATCATGGCTCAGCAGTGGAATCAGATGAGAAGAAAGGGAGAAGGAAATCAAGAATGGGAGGGAGCCAAACACAGTCAGTGAGTGTCCATGAAGTCTTGCAGACCCAGAGATTCCCAGGTTGTTTCTGCTTTTGTAGCATTTGTGTGCTGCAGGGTGAGCAAAAGGTTCTGCTGCTTGATTCTTCTGCAGGAGCCGCCTAAAAGGGAAATGGCCACTGAGCTGCAGACCAAGCAGTACTGCCTGACGTTGGCCAGGGGGAGCTTCTCCTGCCGCAGTGTGATGATGACAGGTCTGGAGATGATCTGCACGGCCAGTTTGTAGATGGGAGCCAGGAAAGGACATGGTGGGAAGAGAGAGGTGTTAAAGAACAGCCAAAGCATGGAAATGCATCAAAAAAGCCCTGAAAAGTTTCACAAAGCCACAGCCAGAAAGTTTGGGATTATCATGAGCAGCTAGAGATTATTTGCTACCATACCAAATGGTAGCAGAGCTCCCCCTGCAGCCATCCCAAAGCCAGACAAAATGGGAACAAAACCAGAGCTCTGCTGCACACCCCACAGCCACAGTGTTGCAAGCTGAGGTGCCTTGCTGTGTTTTCATTCATCCCAATCCCTGTGAATGAAGACTCGGAAGGCAGTCAAGGTGTTTAGTGAGCATGAGTTTGCTTTTATTATTGTATAATAGTCAGGAGGGCATGAGAGGTCCATGGTGAAGATGGGACTCATCCTGTCTTGTCATGGAGAAAGTGGCTCAGAGCTCTCAGTGCTGCTGTCCGGTGCCTGGGACTGGAGGCCTGATTGAAAGTCCCCCTCCAAGAGGTTCTGCTCCTCCCCACTGTCACTGACCTGCTCCTGTATGGAGATGCTGCTTTCCAGGCACTCAGACTGTGCTTGGGATGGGATGTACTGCAGAAACACTGGGTTACAGTCCACACTGGTAACGGTGGTATCTGGCAGGCTCAGGTCAGCATCTTCAACAGAGCCAGGTGTAATGAGGGCATGAACTTGGATGAGCTCCTTCTCTCCATCACTGTTGTTACTGTTGTTACATGGAAGGCTGCTGTTGGAATTGCAGCGATTTGTGCTCCCTATGAGCTCTCCATAGATGGAAGCACAGAGAGCATTGTTGCTACTTGCCCTGGGTTGGCCAGGGCTCCATTCACCTAGAATGGATACACAGAGATTAGCGTCAAACTTTCACAAGCTGAATTATGACAGTTGTTCTTGAAAAAGAGGGTTTTGAAAGCTGCATTTGCACCCTTACCTGCCAGGACTACCACTGCTGTTTCTGAGGGCTGCCTGGCATTGCGCTGCAGTTGGCGTTTGCTCCCAGAGGATGGTTTTCTGAGGCTGAAGCAACAACACCAACTGCCAGCTGGTGATTCCTTCATCTTGCCTGGTGGATTTTGTCTGGAGAGAGAAAACAGTGAATGCTGTGAGTCATGTGTGGTGCAGGATGAAAGCAGAGCTGCACTGAGCTCTTGGCAGCAGTTGCTTGTTCCTAGCACTGCCTGGTTTCTGCAGAAACACAACTTAGAAACTCGCTCTGTTTCAAACAGTTGAGCACGGCTCCATTCCTATAGCTCAGCCCTGAAGTCTTGCTGGCTAAATTCCCCTCAACTCTGTCAAGCAAGATGCAGAGCATGTGAGCAGAGGCTCCACAGTTGTACAGCACAGCATCTAAAGGATGGCTTTTATTGAGCTGTCAGGCGTAACTGCTTGCTGAGGAACTGTGCAGCCATAAAGGAAGTTCAGAAGCATCTCTGACTCCTACATTAGCACTTCATCGGCCTCATCTCACTGCCATGTTTAATTTCTAGTGCCAGCAAGTCTGACCAACAGCTCTGCTTAGAGGAGAACTGGAATTGGTGTCAGGCACATGGCCCTGAGATCTGGAAAATCCCACCAGTAGCATAACCTAGTTTCAGCAAGTTTTGGCACTAGAAATTATGGAAAGAAAAACAGAAAAACCCACCCAAACAATGATGCTAGGTGCTGGAAAAGAAAGTCCTCTTTACCTTTCAGATGGAAAGTCGATGACTGTGTGGAATTTGCCCTGCCCAGCTGCAGGGCTTTCTTCCACTTCAATGTCCTGGCTGCTCTCTGTTACCACAGAAGAGCTGCTGTGGCCTCGCCTCTGTGCCTGTGCCTCCTCCAGGCTGAGCAGCTTTGTGGCAGCAGAAGAGACCCCCACAGACTTGGGCCTTGGGAGAGAATTGTGCCCTGTCAGGGAAAACCACAGGTAAGAGCGAGGATCAGAAAGCAGCAGCACAGCCACCAGAGTTCTGGGGGAGGTGCTGTATTTTTCTCAGGCTTGCTTATCCCAGCAACTGGAAGAAGAGGAGCTCAAAATAACCATGTGGGCAGAGGTGTGTTTATGGCAAAGGACACAGTCATAATGAAAAGCAACTCCCTGTATTGAAACAGACAAAGAAAAACCTGAGAAAATGGGGGCAGGGAACTGTGAAAGCTTTGCTGCCATACTTCCATCAAGCTTCATCTGCATGCAAAACATCATCAGGACACTGACCGTTTCTTCCTTGTAAAGTTTGGGCTTGGACATTCTCAGCATCCAGCAACAGGATGCCATATTCTAATGGAAGCCCAGAGGTCTGCTGTCCCCTTGATGGTAAAAGAGTATCTCAAAGGTCCTGGAGAAGGCCTGCATCTGATCAAGGTGTCAGGTCAAGATCAAGCTACTGGAGGAAGACACTCACCTGCTGCATCTGCGATGCCTGCTCTGGATTTCGAGCAGAAGAGGACGTCTGTGTGGTTGATGATGAATTCCACAACATCTGACTGCGTCTGCAGCTCCATGCAGGCAGCTCTTCCGCTGGCGCAGGCAGACTCGTTCTGCTGTGATCTGTAGAAATGGCAGATTTTAGAAGTCATTTCTCCAAGACCGTTTCCCCGAGTCTGAATTGTTGCAGCCAAAAGCTGTCAGCTGAGGCTCTGCAGATTTCCGCAGTGGGCAATCAGTGATGTCACTGCAGAAATTCTCCTGGATGATCAAGGACACGTCAGTCCCATCTCAACAAGACTGCAGAAATGGTCACCTAGACATTGTGCCCGTGGGGTTGGAGAACAGCCCAGGCTCCTGCTCTGCTGTCAGCCACTTGCTACAGATTTTACAGGAGAAGAGCACATTTGATGGAGAAAAAGGGAGGACTGCCTTTTTTTTTTTTTTTTTTTTTTTTACTGGAGAACAGATGGAAGCGCTGAAGTGTTGAAACGGAACCAGAAGTTTACCTTAAGAGGTTTGGAGCCCACACAATGGCTAAATTCTTAGCGTGCATGTTTGTGATGGTGGAGCTCCCAGCTAGACACGCCAAGTGTCTCATCAGGTACTCCAGTGTCCTGGAAAACGAGAGGCAAATGTTCAGCACCAACGAGCATGCCGTGCTGCAATTCAGAAAGCAAACCTCCATTCATGCTAGTTCTTGTGATTGCTACTGTCACCGAAGATGAAGTAGATCCAACTTGACTGAGTGCCACGCTGCAGCACCAAGCCCCAGCACAGCACAGCCGCAGCCATCAGCTGCACCAAGCGTGCCCCCGTGCCCAGGAACTGACCCCATAAAGTAACCCCATGGAGCCTTCAACCCTTCAGCATACACAGGCATCGTGTTGTCGGCGTGAGACAAAGCCTGGAACCGCATCGTTGCTCTCTGCAATGCAGCAGGGCTGAGCTCAGCAGGCTGAGGGCAGCACTGACCTGTAGTGAGGAGCGGGCAGCTGCTGGATGACGTCCTTCATTCTGAGCAGCCGCTCCTCCTCTGTAGCGGCACCAACAGCATCCTGGAGTAGTGCAGAAAGGGAGCGAGACACAAATCAGGCTAGTACACCACTGCAAGTAAACCTCGTGGGGCTGACAGCAAAAGGGCCTCAGAGCTGGGGCACTGCTGCAGCCATCTGCCAAGAGGCCCAGGAAGAGGGAAATGAAAGACGTGGCCTTGTGCTTACCGAGAACTTGCCGTACAGCTGGTGGGTGAGCAGAGGGTTCGGGAGCTCCCTGAAGTACATCTTGCAGAGGGAGCTCACGCTGTGAATGTCACGGACGGTAAGCTCAGGAATCTGCTCAGACTCAAATTCCTGCCTGGAGAGAGGGACGCAAACCCGGTTGAGCGAGAGGAAGGCAAGCCCAAAGCCACACCAGATGCACTCAGGCTGTGTCAGTCGCAGCACTCTTACCGCAGTCTCTGGATGTTGGACGCGACGCCGGACAGGCGGTATATCCCCTGCACCACGCCGTGCTGCTCAATGAACTCAGCACAGCTCTGGAGGACCTGGGGGACTAAAGAACACGTGCCAGCCGTCAGTGGAGCTCCTGATTCAAGTCCTGCTTCAGGCTGTGCTTCCGGGAGTCACATCCCATCCACTAAGCCCAGCCAGACTTGGCTGAAGCAAATACAGATGTGCTTGTCTCTTAGGAGCATTCGCCTCACTTTATCCTTCAGCCATCAACTTCCTTTACACGTCTCCACTGCTATCAGCCTGCCCCCTGCTAGATATGATCTCCCTTTCACTTTCAGATGCCCAAGAGAGGAAGATCTCAGGAATGGGCTGTTCCTTACCATCGCAACCAGAGTGGAGAAGATGCTCTCCCAGGTCACTGCCAAACACCCTTTCCTTCTCCACCTCCCGCTCGGTCGGTTTCTTTGGGCGGGCCTTCACCAAGGAACGAAGGAAGGTGAGGATCTTGCTGCGTTTCTTGGGCACTGCACAACAAAAGGAAGAAACCAGGTCATCTCAGGTTTGGCTCCGTTGGACGAGGCCGAGCACAGCACCTTCTACAGAGCACGTCAAAATGGGAAGAACATTACCAACCAGTACATACAAAAAGGGATTTTCCCCACCCCTGGAGGAGCCCAAGGCCAGGTTGGATGGGGCCCTGGGCAGCCTGGTCTAGTCTCGCATTAAATGTAGAGGCTGCAGCCCAGGCTGAGGCAGAGGGATGGGAGCTTGTTGATCCTTGAGGTCCCTTCCATCCCAAGCCATTCTATGAAGATTCTATACTTTCCCCAAGTCCAGTCATAAACACAGGAGGATTGGGCCAAATCCCTGCCCCGTGATGTGCATGAAGGATCATCAACCCAGAGGACAATATGGGATGGATAAAGGAGGTATTAAATATGGAACACAACCCAAAAAAGACTTCATTTTGCTTCCCCAAACCATCAAATGTAACATCCGTACCTGGCTTTGGCACTGAATTGATGAGTGCCTCAGGAACATTCTTATTAATGAGTTCCACACACTCCCCTGGGAAAAAACCAACCTATAACAAGAAGAAAAGGAGAGGCCAACTATTGCATGCAACATTTCTCAGGTCTGTACTGTTAAACCAAAAGTCACATAACATTTCCCTCAGAACGTGCTTGCCTGATGTTCCTTAAGACTATCCAGCAGAAAATGGCCATAGTTAACAGCATAAAGGTAATAATTTTTCAACGTTTGCAGCCAAAGGCAAGGTCCTCTGACACCAACACAGGGAAACCATTTACATCCATTACCCATCCTGTGCAGGCAGAGCAGCTCTAAGCTGAGATTCCTACCTTTACTGAAGTTGCACTCTCCAGTCTGAAGCTTGTGCCTACCTGAAAGCCGTGCTTGCCTCTCCACCAGGGAGTCAGCTCCTTTGGTGGCATATCAATGACACACACGATGTCTCCCACCTGCAAGAGATTGCAACGTCAATCCCAGCTTCAGCACGGCTGGGAGGAAAGCACAGCTCAAAGGACTGCATTCTTCTGCACTACCAAACATCGTTGAGCTTGAGAGCAATTGCACCAGTGCAGCTCTGAAGGCATTTGCCGTTGTTCAACTGAACTTGGAGGTAGAAGAGTCAGTACGTTACACAACATACAGAATACAGCTGTGCAGTAGGAAATGGTTCTCAACAGCAGCAGGGTATGGAAGAGTTCCAATTAAACCGCACACAAGTTGGCAGGGCCTCCTGAACAGATCTACACACTCCATTCAGCGGTCTGCTGTTGCTCCGAGACCAGACTACAATACTGGGCAGTATCTGTTTGATCAGAAGATTCAGAAGCCAAATGAAGCCATATTTTAGAGACGGCTGAACTCCTCCCTGCATCCAACCCAATCTGGAACTGCATTTTCTAAGCTTAACTTCACAAAGCATTCTGAAGGTGTGTGAGAATATTCCTGATGCCTTCACACCTTATACTCTTCTGTACATGACAAGGAATGCCTTTAACTGCTTACCTCAAAGGAGAGTTCATCCGCTGCCTGGGCAACGTATCTCTTAATGACATGGGCAGCAGCAATAGCTGGAATATTCACAGGTGCCACCTCATTGTCCAACAAGGGCTTCCCCTTGTTCTCAGTCTGAAACAGAGAGCAGCACAGGCCAAGGTGAGGAGCTGAGAACAAACAAGGAGGATTTCAAGGTGAGGAGCACATCTGCAGAGAAAGCTGCAGGAAATGCACTCGGTCCTTATCATGGGCACTTCAGAAGAAACTGCAAGTCTAATAACAGTTGTTTCTCTTCCTGGTGTGCAGCAGGCACTCGCCAGGCAATGCCAAGATGCATCTCTCTCTACCCACACTAATCAGCAGTGGCACTGACGCAGACAGGTGGCCTTGCCCATTTCGCCCCATCCTTTCCTGCACTCTTTGTTCAGGAAGGTCAATTGTTTAAGATGCTAGGAGACCGTTAAGAGGGAAACCAAAGCTTGTTCACAAAGTGCAAACGGTGTGACTGCAAACACAAAGCAAGCTCTCTTGAGCAGTTCAACAGCAACAGTGAGGCCAAACAGAAGCAGACAATGTTTGTTGTTTCTGCAGCTATTTCAAGGGAAAAATAAGAAGAGGACACCACAACCGAGACTGCTCCAGTAGTTTTATAAATTTGCCACACTTGCACTACTGTCTTGCCAAAGAAGAGTGTAAGAGCCTGCTCACTTCCTGTAATCTTTTGCCTGGGGACCTCAGCCATGAACTAGACACAGGAGCTGGTCCACTGACCCAATCCTTTGCTCACTACTAGTGTCACCTTCCTTTAACTTGGTGAAGATGAGAACACCACTTTATCTTTGGGCGACAAAATCCAGGCAGGATGGGGAAAGTGCTCCTGCATCTTTTTTCGCCGGATCTGATTGTGTTGGTACTATGATTTCACGGCCATCTAGATGCCCGTAGCAAGGAAAGAAAGCTTTTAAGGCAGCTTTTCAGTGACACCAATAGAGATGCAAGTATTTGCTCTCTCTTGAAAAGCAGGAGAGCACATCTGCAGCTCTCTCTGCTGGCTCAAGTCAGGGAACAAAGACCAATCAGAGCTTCATACTCTACCTTCGTCCATGGCACGTCAGGCCCACAGCTGATCTCACTGCACGTGTTGCCCATCACAGCAGGCACAACAAGCTGGAACTGAAAAGAAACACGCTTATATTTTCTCTGTTCACACAACACAGTACTGAGAGACTTCTGGAGAACTTGGCTACCCTCTGGCATAGGCAGGTGTTCTAGAAGCAGCCACTTTGTTCAGTCAATTCAAATGTGACAGCCTATTACTCAGCATTTTACCAAGTGGCTATCCCTCTTCTAGCAGATGGGGACTCTGGCACAAATCAGCACATGCATTTGCCCAGGGCAATCTGACAGCACAGTAGCAGGGCAGTGAGAGGAATCATTGGTGGGGGTGGATCTGCTCCCCACCCCTCATCTTCCAGCAACCTCACCACCAGCACCTTGCACATGGATTTCCTCTGCTTGCATCTCTGCTGTGCTCCCCACAGCTGTCGGGCACACTCACACAGCTGAAGCACGCCTGCTGGTGTCCCTGGCTGATGCTGTGCAGCTCTGCACAAGCTGGGGCTAGGACTCTTTGCCTAAGGGATTGGTTTCCTTAAGATTAGCTGGTCACAGCACACAGACAGCATCCTTCTGAGGGCTGAGCTGGAGAGGAAGTGGAAAAACCCACACGGGACCAGTGTCCTATCAAAGCTGGACGAGGCTGTGTTAGTAAACACGGTGCAACACGGGCTGCTAAAGCATGTGGGGGGACAAAACATGGCAGGTACCTGGCAAGAGATCAGAACAAGGTAGACAAGTTCCTTAAACCCGCAGCCGTTTCTTGTCACTTTGCTCTGTTCTTCCACGAGCAAAAGCTGCACCGAGGGAGCAGGCAGAAGAGAGAGAGAAGGAACAGGTCAGTGAGCTTACACAATTTAGCAAAGACGACAAAGGAAAAACCATGGGACAAATACCACCTTTATGGATCACTTGGGAATCTATGTACTGGGTGAAAATTACATCTGATGGACAAGAGTAAGCAATATCGTACAATGAGTTCTGCCAGCCAGCAGTTCTCAACACCTCACTGCCCATCCATCTGTCCCACACTGTCTCAGCTTACCAACAAGATGCTGCACAAGACGGTGTGAAAACGAAGGTACTCAGTCAGTGCACAAGTGCAACAATTGACCTACTCAGTCAGAGCTCAAAGCGCTCCAATGAAGAGACACAGTACACACTGCTCCTCCCCTCATTCTAGCCGCTTATGACATCATTAAGGGCCACCAGGCTGCTCCACCATGACAGAGAAGGTGGGGAGGCAAGACCACATCACAAGACCAGAATATTCCAACACCCCACCCCAACATTCTAGAATCAGTGGGCGGTTGGAATTCTATCTCAGCCAAATACTGGAGAAGCTGGCACGGGGTTGTCATGACCAAAGCGCAGGACCCGGCGTTTGCTCTTGTTGAGCCTTGTACAACTGGCCTCAGTGCATTCCTCTGGAAGGCCTTCCTACCCTCAGGCAGATGGACACATCTTCCCAACAGCATACCTTGCAGTGCTGGTCCTATGTAAAATCCACACTAGAGTCCTGTGTGTTTGTACACATTCATAACTACTATCTTTTTCTCTACCTAAGTCTTGAGCTACACAATTCAGCTGTTTCATTTCCATAAAACAACCCCATTGATGTCACACTGCTGACACAATGTCCTTGCAAACACAGCAGCAACTCCTGGCACTGATAGCTGCAGGTACAGCAAGCACAGGGCAGTGGGTTGCTTTGAATGCAGTTTGCACACGGATCTGAGGTCTTTGTGGAAAGCGCCTTGCAAAGCACATCATGTCCTGCACCAAGCAGAGCACTGCACATCTTCAGTCTCTCCAAGCTTTGGGGCTTTGAAGCTGCACAGTGTTTCTTGGGCGTTTGTCCCCCAGAACTCCAGAGCACATTGACCTTTTCCCTGACAATTCACAGCTTGCAGAGCATCAAACGCAACAAAGAAAGAAGGAAAGGAAGAGGCAAAAACCATGGCTGTGTACAGAAGCGCACAGGGAGGGTTCAGCAGGAGAAAGAAACCTGCTGCCATAAGTCAACTAAACAAAGGGTTTACACCTCACAGTTACAGAATTTTGAACGCAGAAGCACTGCCACGCAAACAGCACAGTATTTGGAAAGCAGCACATCCCAATCAGCCTCCTTGCCCTGCTCTAACCGCTCAGCCAAACACCAAAATAAAACACACAAACTCTGTTTCTTTGCTTGTGGCAGCCACGAAGCTCATGTTTTAGTGACACACAGAAGTGCATCTCCAGCTACTGTGTGTCTCGCTAACGGCAAGCTCAACTGTGAGCTGTCACTCAGCCTGACACCACAAGCAGAAAATAAGCATACATAAACAGATGCCCTTATCCACACGTGCCAATCCGGGTGCGAGAAATAAAAGGCTCATTAGGCCATGAGCAAAGCAGGGAGCACACAGGCAGGAAACAGAAGGAGTTGAACTCCAGCTCTCCTACACAAGAGACAGGGAGAGCTGAGTCAGCACCACAGGAGGACTTACGACACAGCTTAAGAGCTTACAGAGACCTGAGATTGCCAAAGGATGGTGCTAGGGTAACTCTCACCATTCTTTTGCAGGAGTCTTATGCATGCTTCGGATGCTGATTCCACTGCCTGTGTCATTTGTAGGAATTTTTGTTTGTCCAGGTGAGAAACACTCATTTTTTCTGGGTAACGCTTCTATGGTTCCATGGTTATTACTGGAAAAAAAAAAAAGATGCAACCCTGTAAAATTTACCACTCTGCTGTTCTTGTCAGCATGACATCTCAGATGAGCATTATACGTCTCTGTACCTGACTGAAAATGCATCCAAGGCTATGTTCCACATAGCTTCATCTCAGTGCCAAAAAGAAACACATGCAAAGATGTTTAGAAGATTCTTTGTGCAGATAAAAGTGCAGGGTGTGCATGTATTCTCTTCATTAATAAATATTAGTTTAGAATCCAAAGATAACTTTTCAAGAAGTAGAATGAAAGGTTGATGAAAAGGAAATACACAACAAACTATTTTCATTTAAGAAATCCTTGCTAAACTTCTCCCGATCAAAAAGGAAGCATTCTGGGCATTGTTAACAGCAGTTTGGAGAACATCTTGCACCACAAAATGCACCACAGTCTTTTTTTTTTTTAACAAGCTCCTCATTTCTCTAATTAGTGTCAGAGTCCCTCGTGTTAAAATACGTGGATGAGAACAGCCGTTCAGTCCTGCTGAGATAGGAACCCATGGCTGGAATGTCCCCCCATCCCATTCCATGCTATTTCCAACATCAGTGGGGAAAGGAAGAGCAATTGACATCACCTACCCAGGCTTCTGCAAGGCCTTTGATATGATCAAAGGGAGAAGCATAGGGGAGAACTCTTGTGCCACAAAGCTCAGGGCTGGAGAAATCAAGGTTGCCTCCAAGATGCTGTTTTAAAACAACATGAGATACTGTTGTATAATCAGTGGATATACAGATGCTATAATTAAGAAATATACAGGAAATTTAGGCTAAACAGGTTACCACACCAAAGAAGAATGGATGGAAAGCTTACCCTTGTCCTGGGCTCACTGAGAAGACTTCAAGAGGAGCAATCTCCAGAAGAGATCCTTCCTCACTGGTAGTCAGCTCTTAAATGGGGTCTAAGAGAGGTAGAGTCAGGCTCCATCCCTTCCGGTAGCACAGGTGAATTACCTTCACCTGTGCTCCCAGGGCTGAGTCATTGCTCACTTCAGGTGGTCAGTCAGAGGTTCAGGCCATGATTCAGCTGTTCCCATATGACTGCACATGAGACATGAAAGACAAGGTTAAATGCGCAACATCAGCACTTCCTGTAGAGTAGAGCATATCACACAGCTGTAGGCACACCACAGAAGACTCACACTCCACCTGAGAGTTAACTATTCAGGAAGGAAAACCTTACCATGTGAATGCAATGACAAGCTCTTTTCTTCTTGGCCTTCATTCACAGTGTGTATTTCCCCCAAGAGTGCTGCTGTCTTCAGCTCTTGGCCACTTCCAATACTGGACACTGTGCCCGCAAGTCATTCTGCTTTGGGCAATGCCTGCTAGGTTATCTCCAAACCACTGTCACAGGCCACAAAATAACATAGTTGGTTTGTATGAAAGGGCTCAAAGACCACACACAGTATCCCTTCTGCTGGTAGTTCTCTCAGGGCAAAAACCTCCACTCACAGCAACAAACCAGAAGGCTGAAAAAGCCTCCAATCCCCACAGACATGACTGTCTGCAAAGACAACATCTTTTCAGGAGGGCAATGCTCACCCAGCAAAGCACTCACCCAGCAGATGCCATTTTCTCACAGCCAGAACAGTTACAAGTGTGCGCAGCCCTTAGCACTACGTAGCCATTCTTCAAGGCTGACATGTATCTAAACCATTCCTTGTGTTATCACTTGGATCCCCAGTTAGGGGTAGAGCTCAAGACGTCAACGCAATGTGCAACTGGAAGACATGTCTCAAAGCTGAGAAGAGTCAACTCTCTAACCTTGGGCACAACTCACCAACCAAGAGCTAGGCCTTACCAACTTGGCTGATCTGACCACACGCAACAGGGCCACACATCAGACCACAAGTGTCCAATTTCAATTACATCTCCATGTAGAGAAGAACACCAATTACCAGGCATGAACAAATTCATTCACAAGCTGCATAATGATCTTGCTCTTCATAAAAAAACACATAGATTACTAATCAGAAAATGTATCAGAGCAGTCAAACCCTAGATTGCAACAAATGAAAGTCAGCTCCAGTGCAGCATTCATGGGCACAGACAAAAAGGAAACCAATCAAGTCCACATTTGAAGGCCTTCGGTAGGCAGAGATCCACAGCAAAAGCTCTACACTCAGTCTGCCAGCCCTTAAATGAGGGCTGGGAAGGGGTGGATCCTGGCTCCACCTCTTCATGATTCGGCAGCATCATGTGCGCCTGAGCTCCCCTGGATTGGCTCTGCCTTCCCACCAGGTGTTCCATCACTGCTTCAAGTCGTGACTTAGTACCCCCAACATCACTCCGCAGTGTCACCCCCAGCATCACCCCAACGGTGTCACCCCATTATCACCCCCCAGTAGCACCCTCCACTGTTATCACCCAGCATCACTCCTGCTGTCATTCCACAGTGTCCCTCCATCTCTCCATTCCTCCCTGCCCTTTATCCCCTGCTGTACACTCCCCCATCCCCCCATGTCCACACCTGCTGGCTCTGGCCCCCAGCCCAGTTTCATCCCCAGTCCCAACCCTAATCCCATCCCATCCTCAATCCCAATCCCTCCCCGATCCTAATCCCAATACCATCCCAATACCATCTCATCCACATTCCCATTCCATCCCCAAACCCTTCCTTATCCCAATCCCATTCCTAACCCATCCCAACCCCAGTCCTATCACAATTGCAGTTCCAATCTCCAATCCCATCCCAATCCCATCCCTAATCCTACCCAATCTGCTTTCATCTCATCCCCAATCCCAATCCCAATTTCATGTCCAATTCCCATCTCAATCCCAATACCCTCCCAAATCCCACATTCCCACATCCCCTCCTGCCACACACATCCCCATACCCCTCTCCTGCCCCACACAGAGCCCCACATGGTCCCAAATGGCTCCAGATGCCCCAAATAATGGCCCCAAATGGCTCCAGATGCCCCCAAATAGTGGCCCCAAATAATGGCCCCAAATTGCTTCAGATGCCCCAAATAATGGCCCCAAATACCTCAAATAATGGTCCCAAATGTCCCTAAATGCCTCAAAAGTGCCCAAATAATGGCCCCAAATGCCCTAAATGTGCCCAAATAAAGGCCCCAAATTGCCCCAAATGTCCTCAAACAGCCCCATATAATGGCTCCAAATGATCCCAAAGAGCACCAAATTGCCCCAAAGGGCCCTAAATAATGTCCCACACAGGTGCCAGAAGCTGTCAAGGATGGTGACAGAGGCTCTGTCTTGTGTGTATTGTGGAAATTGTTCCCCACCTGTGGGGTGGAGATGGGGGTCAGGGACACAGTGGTCCCCGCATGGCTCCATGGTGTGGTGTGGGCTGTACCCCAGTGATGTAGCACATGATGGCACGCTCCTCAACTGTGCGCACAGTGCTGCTGTCGGTAGCATTACAGTCAATGACGATGATGAAGATGCAGCATGTGCCAGGATGGGAATCATTCTCTGCCCCGAAGATGTGCTCCCTGCCCTGCGGGTGGGGTGGGCAGGGGGCAATGGGGCAGGAAGGGGGTCCTGGGGACATTGGGTGCGTAGCTGTGGGTGTGGGCACATTGGGGACACAAAGGGGACCATGGGGACATTGGGAGTGGGCATGGGGATAGTGTGGACGGGTGCACTGGGGATGGGGAGGGAGGTGTGGGGACACTGGGGGCACAGAGGTAGGTGTGGGGACATGGGGGTGAGCGTGGTGACGGGGAGGTTGGCATGAGAGCACTGGGGATGGGGAGGTGGGTGTGGGGACACTGAAGTCACAGAAAGGACCATGGGGACGTGGGGGCTGGGCGGATGAATATTGGGGAGGTGCAGGCACTGAGAGGAGGGCATGAGGTCATGGGGTGGGTTTGGGGACATTGGGGAGATGACTGTGGTGGCACTGGGGATGGGGGGAGGTCATGGCGACACTGGGGGCACAGAGGTGACAGAGGTGGGCATGTGGACATGGGGGTGGGAATGGGTATGGAACACTGGGACATTGGGGTGGGTGGGGGGACATTGAAAGCACCCACAACGTGACATGGGGTGATGCACAGTGACCA